TTTTGAGACGGAGTCTTGCTCTGTGGCCCAGGCTGGATGGAGTGCAGTGGTGCGATCTCGGCTCACTGCAAGCTCTGCTTCCCAGGTTCACGCCATTCTCCTGCCTCAGCCTCCCAAGTAACTGGGACTACAGGTGCCCGCCACCGCGCCTGGCTACATTTTTGCATTTTTAGTAGAGACGGGTTTCACCGTGTTAACCAGGATAGTCTCCATCTTCTGACTTTGTGATCTGCCTACCTCGGCCTCCCAAAGTGCTGGGATTACAGGCATGAGCCACCGCGCCCAGCCCCTCCCTATCCATTTCTTTCTTTCTCTTTCTCTTTTTTTTTTAAACAGGGTCTCCCTCTGTCACTCAGGCTGGAGTGCAGTAGTGCCTTCATGGCTCACTGCACCTTCAACCTCCCTGGCTCAAGCGATCCTCTAGCCTCAGCCTCCTGAGTAGCTGGGATCACAGGTGTGTGCCACCATGCCTGGCTAATTTTTTTTCTTTTTAGAGATGGGGTCTTGCTGTGTTGCCCAGGCTGGTCTCGAACTCCTGGGCTCAAGTGATCCTCCTGCCTTGGCCTCCTAAAGTGCTGGGATTACAGGCATGAGCCACTGTGTCTGGCCCTCCATTTCTCTCTCTGTGGCTCTCACATTCTCTCTCTGTCTCACTATCTCTGTGTGTGTGTGTCTCTGTCTGTATCTCTCTCTCTCTCTCTCTGGGATTCAGTCCCTCCCTGCCTCCGAGTTTCTGTCTGTCTCTGTCCCTCTGTGACTCAGCCTCTCCCTGTTTCCATCTTGCTCTGACTTGGTCTTCTCTCTGTGGCTCTCACATTCTCTCTCTGTCTCACTATCTCTGTGTGTGTGTGTCTCTGTCTGTATCTCTCTCTCTCTCTCTCTGGGATTCAGTCCCTCCCTGCCTCCGAGTTTCTGTCTGTCTCTGTCCCTCTGTGACTCAGCCTCTCCCTGTTTCCATCTTGCTCTGACTTGGTCTCTGTGTCTCTCTGTTTCAGCCTCTTCCTGGCTCTATTTTTCTCCTGTGTCCTTGAAGCAGTATGGTGCAGTGGTTAAGGCCAGACTGCCTGCATTTGAATCCACTTCTGGCTGTGTGACCTTAGGCTAGTCTCCCAACCTCTCTGTTCCTCAGTCTCCTCCTCATCTGCTAAATGGAGATAATAGTAGCTCCTCCCTCCAAGGGTATGCTGGGTAGATGGTGGGCGGGTGGGTGATTGATGTGTGGGTTAATGGATGGTTTGCGGGGAGGACTTAGTGAGTTAAGTGTCCTGAGCAGCACCTGCACACAGGTGACACTCACTGCTGCTGGATCCTGTCACAACTCTCCACTTCCAAGAGAGTCTCGAAAAATTTCCCGCCATCTCAGTCTCCCATTTCTGGGCGTCTCTGGGGTTTTGGTCTCTGTGGCCCACCCTTCTCCCTCTCTCCATGCCCACCCTGCACCCGGGCAGCAGGGCACTCACCGAGAGGTGCTGGAACAACCAGGCTCGCATGATGTTGGTGGCCACCTTGGGGAAGATCCCCCTCTTCTTGTTTCGCCGTCGCTCCTGGTCCAAGTCCTCATCTTCCCCACCAGAACTGGGAGAGGCCACGCTGGTGTCCAGCCCATCTCCTGAGGGAGGGCAGGCATGCTGTGTGTGTGGGCAGTGAAGAGTGGAGGACCAGAGGGCCCTAGGACTCTCCCCTAAGACACCACTCCATACCCCAGCCATCTCTGCCCTTCTGCAAGTCCTACTTGCAGTCTAACTTCAATCCTCTGGCTGATTCCCATGTTTCCTTTCCACCTCCCAAGATTCTCACCTTGGTCACTGGAGTTGTCACCACTCTGGGAGGCCAGGCCCCCGCTGGATGGACCTGGGGTCCCCAGATGTACAGACCCGCTATCCTCATGGTCTCGAATCCATATATTATTCTAGAAAACAAGAGTCAGCAGTTAGTGCCAAGGCGGCTGGGCACCGTGGCTCATGCCTGTAATCCCAGCAGTTTAGGAGGCCAAGGCAGGTGGATCACGAGGTCAAGAGATCGAGACCATCCTGGCTAACATGGTGAAACTCCGTCTCTACTAAAAAATAGAAAAAATTAGCTGGGTGTGGTGGCACGCACCTGTAGTCCCAGCTACTCAGGAGGCTGAAGCAGGAGAATCGCTTGAACCCAGGAGGCAGAGGTTGCAGTGAGCCAAGATTGTGCCACTACACTCCAGCCTGGGTGACAGAGCAAGACTCCATGTCAAAAAAAAAAAGTTAGTGCTAAGGCTTGAGGCATGGACTCTGGAGCTAGGACTCCTGAATGGGAAGCCAGTCCCTGCCTCCCTCCTGGCTGTGTGATCTTGGGCAGGTCACTTCCCCTCTCTGAGCCTCCGTTTCCTTAATTGGAAAATGAAGGACAGGACCAGGCACAGTGGCTCACGCCTGTAATGCCAGCACTTTTGGAGGCTGAGGCAGGCAGATTACCTGAGATCGGGCATTTGAGACCAGCCTGGCCAACATGCTGAAACCCCATCTATACTAAAAATACAAAAACTAGGCCGGCTTGGGCACGGTGGCTCACGCCTGTAATCCCAGCACTTTGGGAGGCCAAGGCAGGCGGATCACTTGAGGTCAGGAGTTGAAGACCAGCCTGGCCAACATGGTGAAACTTTGTCTCTACTAAAAATACAAAATTAGCCGGGCATGATGGTGGGTGCCTGTAATCCCAGCTACTTGGAAGGCTGAGGCGGGAGAATTGCTTGAACCCGGGAGGCAGAAGTTGCAGTGAGCAAAGATCGCGCCATTGCACTCCGGCCTGGACTGGGTGACAAAGTGAGACTACGTCTCAAAAAAATAATAATAAATAAATAAATAAAGCAAGAGAAAAAGAAAACAAAGGATAATAATAGTCATGACGGAGTGTGGCCAGTATTCAATGATGAGTTCATCTACATAGAGGCTCGAACAAGACGACCTTACTCAGGTCTATGGCATCTTATCTAAAATCCTTGGGGCTAGAGGTGTCTCAGGATTCAGAACATTTCATATTTTTAACTTTATTTTGAGTCAGTGTCTCCTTCTGTCGCCCAAGCTGGAGTGTAGTTGCATGATCTAGGCTCACTGCAGCCTTTGCCTCCCGGGTTCAAGCGATTCTCATGCCTCAGTCTCCCAAGTAGCTGGGATTACAGGTGCCTGCCACCATGCCTGGCTAATTTTTGTATTTTTAGTAGAGACGGGGTTTCACTATGTTGGCCAGGCTGATCTCGAACTCCTGGGCTTAAGTGATCCGCCCACCTCTGCCTCCCAAAATCTTAGATAACAGGTGTGAGCCACTGTGCCAGGCCCATTTCACATTTTTAGGCAGTAAATCAGTGCATACACCATGCACTTTGCAGCCATCCCAGGCAGGCTCTGGGGCACAACCTCGTCATCAAACTCATTAACATTTCCACAGAAACATGGATGAATATTTAACTAAGTAGAATAAATAAAGGCTATAAATAGCCCCTCATTAGTTCAGGTCCGTTTTTGCTGCCAAATGAGTTTGCACTAAATTTATGGGACAAAATGCAAAACTTTGAAGTTTCAGAGATTGTAGCCAAGGGGTCTCAGAATTGTAGGTAAGGGGGTCTGGGGCTGTATTATGTATTATCTGTTTTTCTTTTTTTTTTTTTTTGAGACGGAATCTTGCCCTGTCGCCCAGGCTGGAGTGCAATGGCATGATCTCGGCTCACTGAAACATGCACCTCCTGGGTTCAGGCAATCCTCCCGCCTCAGCCTCCTGAGTAGGTGGGATTACAGGCGCGTGCCACCATGTCTGGCTAATTTTTCGTATCTCTAGTAGAGATGGGGTTTCACCATGTTGGCCAGGCTGGTCTCAAACTACTGACCTAGTGATCCACTCACCTCAGCCTCCCAAAGCGCTGGAATTACAGGCGTGAGCCACTGTGCCTGGCCTTCTCTTTTTTTTTTTTTTTAAGAGACAGAGTCTTGCTCTGTCACCTAGGCTGGAGTGCAGTGGTGCAATCTTAGCTCTCTGCAGCTTCAAATTCCTGGGCTCAAGCAATCCTCTCGCCTCAGCCTGCCAAGTAGCTGGAACTACAGTTGCGCCTGGCTAATTTTTCTTATTTTTTGTGGAGATGGGATTTCACGATGTTGTCCAGATTGCTCTCGAACTCCTGGGCTTAAGCGATCTTCCTGCCTCGACTTCCCGAAGTGCTGAGATTACAGGCGTGAAGCCACTGCAGCCAGCCTCGTCGTTTCTTTATGCAAACTCCAACACACTTTGAGGAACTCGACAATCGGTAGGATTTACCCTCCACCCAGCTCCGTGCGCCAGGAGGTCAGCTCATCCATATGGACTGCAGTAACACTTCTTCGGTTTAAGGTTGGGTTAAATCTGCCCAACCTGTGGTTTTAGATTAGCTGTATTCTTCTACCAAAAATCTCAGCCGCTGTCAAGCAATCTGCTCCTCTCTCCAGTTCTGGTGACCACGCCCCCTCCTACCCTTCTTTATTTTGAGACAGAGTGTCACTCTGTTGCCCAGGCTGGAGGGCAGTGGTGAGATCTCCGCTCACTGCAACTTCCGCCTCCTGGATTCAAGTGATTCTCCTGTCTCAGCCTCCCAAGTAGCTGGGATTACAGGCGCACGACACAACATCCAACTAATTTGTTGTTGGGGTTTTTTGTTTTTTTTTTGAGACGGAGTCGTGTTCTGTTGCCCAGGCTACAGTGCAGTGGCACGATCTCGGCTCACTGCAAGCTCTGCCGCCTCCCGGGTTCACACCATTCTCCTGCCTCAGCTTCCCAAGAAGCTGGGACTACAGGCGCCCGCCACCACGCCCGGCTAGTTTTTTTGTATTTTTAGTAGAGACGGGGTTTCACTGTGTTCGCCATGATGGTCTCGATCTCCTGACCTCGTGATCCGCCTGCCTCGGCCTCCCAAAGTGCTGGGATTACAGGCGTGAGGCACCGCGCCCGGCCATTATTGGGTTTTTTTGTTGTTGTTTGTTTTTTTGAGACAGAGTCTTGCCCTGTCACCCAGGCTGAAGTGCAATAGCGCGATCTCGGCTCATCGCAACCTTCGCCTCCCGGGTGCAAGCGATTCTCCTGCCTCAGCCTCCCGAGTAGCTGGGATTATAGGCACGTGCCACCATGCCCGGCTAATTTTTTTTTTTGTATGTTTAGTAGAGACGGGGTTTCACCATGTTGGCCTGGCTGGTCTCAAACTCCTGACCTCGTGATCTGCCCGCCTCAGCCTCCCAAAGTGCTGGGATTACAGGTGTGAGCCACCGCACCCAGCCATCACCAGGCTACATTTTTCTTTCTGTGACTGTAGTTTGAAGGTTTGGTTGTCTTGTATGTGACACTGCTGTCGCGATTCCTGTGCGAGTGGGTATAAGGCTTCAGGACTTGGCCAGGCACGGTGGCTCAAGCCTGTAATCCCAGCACTTTGGGAGGCCGAGGCGGGATGATCACTTGAGGTCAGGAGTTCGAGGCCAGCCTGGCCAAATGGTGAAACCCGATCTCTACTGAACATACAAAAGTTAGCTGGGCGTGGTGGCAGGCACCTGTAGTCCCAGCTACTCGGGAGGCTGAGGCAGGGGAATCGCTTGAACCTGGAGGCAGAGGTTGCAGTGAACTGAGATTGCACCACTGCACTCCAGTCTGACTGACAAACTGAGACTCCATTAAAAAAAAAAAAAAAGGCTCCGGGACTGTGTCTGGGTGCGTCTGGCTGTGGGGTGGTTGTCATGTGAGTGTATCTGAGGCGGTGTGGAGTGGGTGTGCGTGTGCTGTAAACATGTCATTGCCAGGTGTGTTGACAGTAGGATTGCCTGGGTGTGGCTCTCATGTGACTTTTCCTCAAGGCTTCGCGCCTCTACTCTGTACATAGCCGTGGCGAGTCGGGATCCACACGGCTGTGCTGTGCTGTGCGTGTTTGCCGTCTGGTGTCCTAAGTGGATAAAACTGTAGTGAGGCTGCATCTGAGATGGTGCCACCTTATTGAGTTGTTTCTTTGGGTTTCTTTGTGGCCCCATCTGAGCCTGTTGAGTCTATTTCCAAGTCTGTGTGGATGAGTCTGGGGCCATGTGGCTGTGAGTGGTGTGTGTGCGCTATCTCGGCTGCAGCCCGACTGTTATGTGACCAGGGTCACGTGTGTGCAAGAGGGCACCGTGGTCAGTCAGGGCCCAAGCGTGGTTATATCTGAGTTTGCCAGGCAGTACCTTGGGCTGTTGGGCTCTATGTCCATCTGTGTGGCTGTTTCGTGTGGCTGGAGTGGGGGTGCATATGTGGTAGACACACACACAATTGAGAACGGCGTGCAGAACCCGACTGTGTGTTCTGTGCTGCTGTCGTATGGCTGGGGGGGTGTGTGTGAGTACATGGTGGATGCTACTGTCCAGCTGTGAGCAGAAACGGCTGTTGCTGAGTTGGTGTGGCTGTGTGTGGACCTGTGTGGGTGTAGCTGAGTCTGTGGGTGGCATCTGCAGCTGCTGGTGTGCACGTGTGTGCACCGTCGCCCAGCCGCATCCGAGTCTGCACAGCTGTTGTGTAGTGGGTATGTGGCTGTGTGCATATGCGTGCCCCGTCATCAGGCTGACTGTGGCTGCATCTGAGGCTGTGTAGTGTGCATACGCCTTCATGCAGTACCCAGGCACAGCTGTGGCTGCAGGGCGATATGCCTGGTGCCCGTCCCAGGCCCACCTGGTCTGGGAGGCTGGGGCAGGAGGCTGGGTAGTCCTCGAAGTCCTCCCTGCAGCCGCCGTCCCGATCTTCGATGACCAGGTCGATGGGCATCTTTCCCTTGAGGCAGGTGATGTAGCGGTGACAGAAGTTGTCGCACAGGTCGTGGACCTGGGGGGGCACCGGGGTACTGGGGGGGCCACCCGGGGGGGCAGGGCTGGGGTGCACAGGGACGGGGGTGGCATTCTGCTTCAACTCCAGTGGGGAGAGAGCTGCAAGGTGGGGGGCAGAGGCGACGAGAGGGGGTGGGATGAGGTGGGCAAGTGAGGCTGTTGGGGGGTGAGACGCACTCACCTTCTCCAGCTCCAGCAGGTGGAATCGCAGCACTTGGATGGCCTGGATCATCTGAAAACGCGGGACAGGAGGTGGGGGAAGACAGAGGGAATCGGGGGAGGGAGAAGGGAGGAAGAAGGAAGAGGAAAAGGAGGAGGAAGAGAGGAGAGACAGAGAAACAGAAAGAGTGAGATAAAATGACAGGGACAGGGCGACAAAGACACCAGGCACAGGGGGGAAAGAGAGAACAGAGATGCAGTGCAGAATTAAGGAAAGAGTGGGTGTTAGATTCAGAGGTAGAGACAAGAGTAGCAAGAGATGAAAGAGCCCATCACAAAGGGGGAGAGCTAAGGTGAGCCGTTCAGACTGGCATTCCCACCCTCTGCCTGTTGGCCCCCAGCTCCAGGCCCCGCCCACCTGCAAACGACATTTCCCAGAGCCCTTTGCCAAAGGGTTTGGCCAATAGGAAGCCCTGGCAAGAGCTTGGGGAGCAAAGGATGGGAGAAGCTGGGGTATTTCTCCCTCCTTTCTTCTCTATCTTCTTTTTTCTCTTTCTTTTTTGATATGGAGTCTTGCTCTGTCATCCAGGCTGGAATGCAGTGGAGCGATCTCAGCTCACTGCAACCTCCGCCTCCCAGGTTCAAGTGATTCTCCTGCCTCAGCCTCCTGAGTAGCTGGGACTACAGGCACGCACCACTGT